TAAAGTTAAAAAAATTTATTAAAAAATTTTTAATATTAACTTATTTATTTTTATTTAAAGTAAAAGTATTTTTAGCTATATAAAACTTAAATTTAATTTTTTTAATAGTAAAAGTAATAAGCTTTTTATTAAGTTTAATAATATTAATAAGTTTAAGTTATTTAAGCTAAAGTTTTTTATTTTTTAAATTAATATATTACTATAGCTATAAAGCTAAAGCTTTTGTTTTAAATTTTTTATTTTAGTAATAAAATTTTTTTAAGTAAAATAATTTAATTTTATTATCTAATACTATTATTGCTAAGTTACTATACTATTAAGCTTTAATAATAATAATAAGCAATATAAAATTTTTAATTATTAAAACTAGTAAAGTAGCTAAATTATATATATTAATTAATATATATATTAAAAAGTTAAACTTTTTTTTTTATAAAATCTGCACATATTAAATAAGTAAAGAAAAACCCTTTATAAAAAGACCTTTTTTTTATAGTAGTTTTTACTATAGCTATATAACTTCTATTATATAAGCATTATATTAATTCCTGTTATTTTATAACCTATTAAATCTAACACCTCTCCTAGGCCTTATATATAGTATTAATTACAACAAAGGACTTAAAAGAAAGGAAAGAAAAAAAGATAAAAAGAATTTTATTTAAAGTTATTGTATTATATACTAATCAACCATTTATTACACTGCTTCTAAGATAAGACCTACATATCTATATAGGTTAGGTAAAGTACTTACTTATTTCACTAGGTTGTTGGTTTATAGAGGGACTCTAAGGATATATAGAAGTTTAACCTACAACGTATATTTGACCAAAAGAAAGAAAATCGTGTTAAGAACTTAGCATAGATAATACCTGGTGTCGAGGGCCTTGGAAGTTAGATCTGCGAGACAGTGAGCAATTAAAGCGTCGGGTGGAGTGGAATAAAAAAAGAAAGAAAAAATGATAACGATCACCACGGGACTCGAACCCGCAACCTTAGACTTTCTAAAAGTCAACCAGAAGATTAACTTTATAGGAGGTCTACGCGCTACCATTGCGCCAAGCAATCCAGTCTGTTTCTTATTAGATTCAGGTCCCCAATCAAATAATAACGGGACATATGGTGGGGCGGTAATATCGGCTAGAAAGTGGGTACCGGCTTTTAAGAGATTACCGTTTTCACTTCTAGCCTTGGTTGACGTAAAAGAGCCTCAATATCTTGTTCGTGACGTCGTCGCCAATGACGCATTCCAACCTAGAAATTTAACACACCCAATATTCGGACATCATGCCTACCAGGCCTACACCACCTGCTGGCAAGACTTACTAGGTAAATGAAGAAAATTCATCTGATGACGTAGAGACAATAGTCTACCTACACCCGTGAACCGCCGGTATAGGCGCCAGAATATTGTGCAATGTGCGGTACCTTACTTACGAGTAGTTGCTGCACGGGACATGTCCGGGAATCATCTGGCATGTGCCGAACGACAATCGTCAGAGGTATATGTGATTTTACTTAAATCCGTCAACTCATTCATGCCCGTTATGATGTCTCACAACATGACCAGAGTTGCACAAAGTACATGCAGCCCAACGCAGATAAGAAAAGACCTACCCATTTCCCCTCGTGTTGCATTGCTTGCCGCATTTCACTGTGCCTTCCCAGCCTCGCGTATTTGTCAATGATATCGGCCATGGGTGTCACTTATGTGCCGGTGGATAGAGTGACAATCGCAGATCGTAGGAGAGGGCGGAGAGGGCGGAGAGGGGGAACACACGTCGTACGTCTATATGGTCTGTATGGTGTTTGTGTGGCCTTCCATCAGACCGCCCTTACCAACGTCTTTCTCTATGCATACACCTGACATTCGCTTCTAGGTGATCGACGCTGCGTAACCTGCGCGTTTAATGATTAGCCGGTATTTTCAACGTGTCCGCGTAGCCCAATGAACTTGCACGTACTAGTGTTTAAAGGGGGGGTTAGTGTGGCCTCGATGAGGGCTTCTCCAATCTTCACCCCTGGTAGAGTTATTACCGACCACCCCCCAAAGCATGCCCCCCAATAGAAATCGCTTCATAGTCGCCCGTTTGGCCCGGCTTCAAGCAGAGACACGTCCCTTTGTGTCAGGCAATGGTTGCGACATGGAGTTTTCCGGTTATAGCGGCGCTCGCAAATAGAATAGGGCTTAGCAATCGTCAAGTTGTATTATCCCCTTTCCGAAAACGGCGACTCGACCACCAAAATCGCCATCTATTACCCTCTTTCTTCGATATTGTTACGCCGCATCGTCGTTCAAGGCTGGGCCACTCTTGGGTGCCCTGTCAACTGGCATATAAGTAATAGAAGCCTCGGTTCTTCTATGGATATGAGTCGTGAGGAGAAAGTGATGTGACATCAACTGTGACTCTCGGAGATATTCTTGGTGGGTATTCCATTCGGCTTGGGCCGGCGATTACGTGATCGTGGGCGTCCTGGCAGGTATGTCACTACCTAGTCTGGCGGATCCGGCTTTTCATGGGATGCCAAAATCTCGTCCACAAGCTTACAAGGTATTTCGTGGTTCGAAGGAGGCCGGTAGAGACCGTTGAACACCCTAGGAGCGAGGTGCTGTGCCGCAATCGTGGCCGCAGGGTTGTTTGCTTGCACTCTTTGGCCTAGGAGGTCTGGATTGTTTGGCAGGCATTTCTCCGTACAAGAGACGTCCCACGATAAGATAGGACAAGAAGGGAGGCCATATCTGCGGCGAAGAGCTACAAGTTCGTGAAACCGAGTCGACTCTAGTCAATGAGGCTGGACGGCATGGTCGACGTGCGTTGTGGCTCCGGAAAATGACTATAGGAAACAAGTATCATCTAACCAGCTGGGTAGAATGTAACCTCGACTGAGTACATACATTATATAAAGGGTGCTGAGAGAAAACCGCAAGCACTTGTAAGTAGGGTACCTTGATTACATACGAGTACGTCGCAATGCCCTAATGAGGTCGCCACTTCCCAGAAGATGTTGCAACATTTCCAATGTAATTTACCCACCTCTTGTACTGTATATTGGAAGCGACGCTGTACGGCGGAAAACAGCCGCTCTAACCTGTATAGGTAACGTCTTCCAGCGCTTATTACAAGTTTCTTGGAAAGTCTGTTGGTTCTTTCTCCAAACGGATGGTAACTAACCTATCACCTGTTGATGATCAACTCTGTGGGGTGTCGTGGCTCGGGATACTACCCTTGATGCTCCTTCATCCATGTATTGCACATGACTGTGCAGCTCAGGAGTCTATGTTACGTGTACACACATCCGACCTTCAAAAAGCACCGTCTTACCTCTTTGCGCTTGTTTATATCTAATCAAATGTCGCAAGTTCTGACTGGGCTACCTACGTAGTATGTAGTTTAGATAAAGTAGGTAGGTAGGTAACAGTTTCCTGTGTCCAGGTTCAGACTGGATACTAGAGACGCTCAGCTGGAAGGCTCTTGGGGGTAACCTCATCTTCCTCAGGGGAAAGCTCATTTCGAATTTTTATTTGTTAATCAATTCTCGTAACTCAATTGACAATTGTATTGTTTACAGGTGCTAATGTGCCTCCTATCTCGGTCATATGTTGGGAGAATCTTATAACCTGAAACTGCCAACAACTCCATCTTTGACTTCGTTGGGTATACCTATTGGCTAGGTTGAAGCTTGAAAACCCCGCGCCGTCCCCCTAACGACACGGGTGTTTGAATCCTCTGAGTTGGTCCTTCCATTGTCATATCTCTCCCACAGGGCCACAAGGCCCAAAAGAGGGAAATTGCCAGGAAAGTTCATAAACGACTGAGATTTGGACACCGCCTTGAGCTCTGATGGAAACGTGGTCCTGCCTTCACACTGTATTCAAGGCAAACAAGCCATGGATTAGAGCCCCCTGGCGGCGTCGTTCCGATTAACCGAAGCGAATGTGTGCTATGGCAAAACTGGTTACCACAGAGAGGTGAGTTTAGGAGACGGGGGTAGAGCGAGCGTGATGTCTAGTAGCGCAATTCCACTGTTTGTGCTGCTATTATGGAAACTCTGTCCTCTAGTTCCCGTAAGCGAGGCTCCTTGTTCCTAGAGCATATTGTATGCCTGTTCTAGGGGACATAAGTGGCACAGATGTGACAACTTCGCCCGGCGAAAACCCACGTCTCCCGGCCAGCGTCTCGGCAGGTAGGGCATCGTTTGCCGGGAGCCTTTCAACAAAATCAGTAATTGAAACGCCATATCTCAAGGTCAACGTACAGTGCCCGATTCTCCAACGAGAGTGGCATGACTGGGAGTAGACTTGCACATTTTATGACTGCTGGTAAGGCGTGATACGGCGGTGGCTATTAGCTCTAGAGTGTAGTATTTACTGCTCAAAGGTGATCCGGGGAATAACTTTGACTCTCTGTACGTAGTTGAAGATATCGGAGTCTTATGACCTCAGGACAGATCATGGACATGTGGTATCTTTATATATTTCGAGTCTCAGAGGAGACCTGGCCACGTAGGTCGACCTTTGCACTTTTCCATGTATGTCACTGATGACTTGTCCATCGAGTGGATCGGGAGGCGATGGAATAAACTCGAAGAGAGCATTACGGATCGTTGGGTGTATATCTGGCCAAGATTAGGCGATGGAGGAGAAAGCGGCCATCGTGCCACAAGACAGAATGAACCGGTAAGGAAGCCAACGTCCCATCGGCGAAGCATGAGACGAACAATGGATCCAGTCATGATAGCTCACGAGGCATGCCTAAGAAAGCTGATCAGGTGCTCGCTCCCGACGATGGCACACCAGGCTAGGTGGTGGTCCACAGGGTTGAACTCCCTCCGTACTAGAAGGATACCCCAACCTCACCCCGATATCTCACTATAATTCGGTCCTTACCTAGTCCAATAACAGACACGCCGAGATGATACTTGCCCGTGAGGTGATGATAACAGACTGGCATGGCCAGCAGGGCTCGTGGAACCGGTAGGAGAGGAGCATAACAGCCTATAGCGTTGGCCAGTCCATCGACACATGGCCAGTAGATTCACGCAAGACCAGCACCCCGCCGCCGACCTAGCACCATCCGAAGTCGTTTCACTGACGGAGTCAGTCACTTACAAAGACATCATAGATAAAAGACAGCATGATTGGGTAGAGCGGATGAGAAATGGGCAGTGGTTGTATCGGCAGAGTCGGCAATGCCAAGGTTTTACCGGCAAGGTTCTTATTAGGCGGAAAACCTACATCCAGCTAGCCCTCGATGCCCGAGTTCAGGGGAGGCCTTCGTATGAGGGATCCCTCCCATGCAGACACTTTGATTTTTCTTGATTTTATTTTAGGTATGAAATATTTTCCTGTACGGATGTCGGCGTCATGCGTCTTGCCCTTTCTGTGTGGCAGTATGATCCGATATTGAACCAGACTCGGTGTCATCCTATGTAAAAGTCTAAAAGGTTTAGTAACGCAAGAGAACTGGCACTATGCACTACCACCTGGTTACGCATGGTGGGACAATATTCAAGTTCTGTGCATGAAGGCGATCTCTACTAGACACGTTAAACATCTCAATTGTCTCTCAGTGAGTTATGCAGCGATGGATGTAAATTAGTATGTCAAAAGGAGGGTGTAATATAAGTATGTTTCACACTTGAAACAATGCTGACAATATCATTTCAGGCGGAGTTTACATTGCGTCGATAACGAACTAAGGTATGTACATACGTAACTTGTGGTTATAGCTATGGTTAGAGAGGAGTTACGACCTTGAGGCAAGGGAAAGTTGGTCGCACATACCTAAGTACCTAGCACCGTGGCACAGGACCGGCAAGGATAGGGGTGTATCACTAGTAGCCCAGAGTGATAGGCCGCGAGGAAGTCTGTAGGGATAATTAGGTGCATACGGCCTAGCCATCGTTCCAGATAACCACCGAAGTTGGCTACCTCCATTGGAACCACAAACAGCATCTTCGAATATTAAATCCCACTGATCGCCAGTCGGCTTGGGCAAGTGTGACATATCTGCAGCATAGCAGCATTTAGATACCAATATAGGTTAGTACGTCCCTTCCTTAGGTGT